TGTAAATGTCATCTGGCAGATTATTTCTCTCAAAGCTGGAAAGAACATGAAGGAAATCTGCAGGTATTTCATGCATTACTTTATAGTTGCATTGGTAAATGTACATATTAAAAGACTGGAGTTAGATTTCCTTGTAATTAAGTTATTATGTGTATATTTTAGGCAAGGATGTTAAAGTTCCTGGGATGACAGAAAGACTAATGCTGTCTCAAAAACTAGATGTGACTATCAGCATTACATCGCTCACAAAAAATTACTACAAAACATGAAAATAGGAATAAAGGACAAATCTTCTGTATATTCCAAATATTGCACAAACTACCCATGTAACTACTTTGTACATAGTGTTCTGGACTAATGTATCTTTGGATATATGCTTACATGTATATGTGTATATGTTCTCACTGTCAGGCTCCCAGAATAATTCAGCAGTTTACAGGCATAACTGCTAGAATATTTATGTAAGATATTGTCATTGTTACAATTTATCGCCTTTTCTGCCCAGTAGGCTCCTTTCTTTGAGCGCAGAAAAGATCCTAGAGGAGGAACTTTATTTATCTATCGTTGCAGAGTGTCAGATACATAGTAGGTAGAACTAAAAATGAAGTGATAACAGGTAAGTTCTTTGTCTTCTGGCCTGATACTAAATAAAGATTTGGGCCTTGTGCAGATCATGGGCAATATCTATTAATCTATTTTCAAGTGATCTTCTTTTAGGAAAGCACTAAGCTGAAGTACCTTTTACTTACCTTTGTCTTCTTCAGCAGCATAGCTACCATAGCTTTCAATACACTCATTTCCAAATCTGTTCATCTGAGTCGTTGTTCCCTCTCCAGCACTTAGAATGCAAATGCTGTGAAATAGTGTTGCATTAGAAAGTGCTAATTAGCTCAACCTGAAGCACAAAAATAAATCTAGTAGGTTATCTCCATCAACCTACTAGATATTTTCCTAATAACTTTCTCATTAATGTAGAAATACATTTTCTAGTCTCTCATGACGGTTTAAATGCGTCCTACAGTAGTTAAATAATATGAAAAGACTGAATTCTTTGCAGATCTCTAAATGGCCACTTGAAGTTATTTAAATCTTACAGCTGCTTTTCTTAGATAATATCTTCTGATAAAGTAAGCCTTTTGAAAGCTCATCTTTCTTCCTTTTGAATATAAAAGGAGATCAAAACAGAGTGTTTCATGGGAACACAGTAAAATCTTAAAATATGGAAAAATCCTGCCTCCCATGAATAAACCAGAGACTGCAACAGGCTCAGAGGGAAACGAGTTGAGTTTTGTAGTTTCTGGTAAGACCCTCGCTGCTTCAGTGGCAGGAAGGAAAAGGTGATTCAGGTCCATTCTGCTTAGCCTCACACGAAAAGGGAATTTTTTCCTTTATTTCCAGCATCAGCAGTCAATAGAATACATTCCCACTTGGATATTTTAGGATTTGAGATGAATTTAGAACTTTTCAAGCATTTTTCTAACACTGTCTTGAAATACTGTTTCACATCTTAGTTGAATATCAGAATAATTGAAGAAACCTGAGCCACAGAGGCACTTGAGACAATGTATTGTTACCAGTTTAGGGTTGTGGGGTTTATAATGATAAACTGCTAGGACTGTCTTCCAGTTTCCCTGTTTTCAGATTAAAGAAACACTGCAGAGCAGCTTTGTCACACTGAAGTTTTAAGACCAAACTTCAATAGTGTACTTGCTTTGCCCTTGGGTAGCAAGGCCAGCAAGTGAGAGCACAGCACCATGTCCTGCAGTAGCACTGCTGGGGTGTCTCTTGGTTCAGATTATCAGGATTTTGGCAAAGCAACGGGACAGGAAATGTGACAAATACAGCAAAAAAAGAAGGAACCTGTAGGAAGAATTGGAGCAACAATGAGTTTGAGATAATTAATCAAATCTGGCATTGCTGGCAACTGGTCACCTCTGTGCATTAAATCAAATTTTCCTTGATTTACACCTGGGAGATACATTTAAGAGGTATTTAAAAGCATATTTTAAACATATTTTAGAGGGGAGAAAAAAAAAATCAGCAGTTACTCAGTTTTATTTGACTTATTTTCTTCAGCTTAACAAAGGGTCTATCAGCTGAACTCGGGTTTCTCAAGAGGGTTCAGAAATACTTTGTCGAAGACTCTTTGCTTTATCTCTACCTTTATTTTTCAGATTACATTGGGACAAAGTAGGAAACACGCATTTTGTCATGACTCAGAGCAGCTGTTGCAGGTGTTGTGCCTTGGAATTTGTGGGATCTTACACTGATTATAGCATGCAAAAGTAATTGCTGAGGAAATCCAGTTACATATGTCCATATGCAAAAAGCCATTGCTCAAATTTAATTGGGTAGGATTACAAGTGAAAAATGGCCTTCATTAGCATAATGTTATTTTCAGGATACTGGTAAGGATTAGGAGTTTCTCCAGAGATCTTGCAGACCATACTCATCAACGGAAAGCAACAGCAACTCTCACTTCAGGAAAACTGATTTACATAACTAGCCTTGAGTCACAATGCAGGTTTTATAAATTACTTTGTCAATCTAAAAGATGCTTGCTATTCAAATTATGAAGCCCCTGTGAGTACAGGCCCATTTTTCTGAATAGAGAGACCATGAAAACATCAGTAACTCTGGCATAAAACTGATGTATTGTGTAATAATGTTTCACATAGAACCTGGGGCTTCATTTATCATCAATGTCTGTAGCTAGGTTTGGTACAGGTTACAAAAGAAGCCCTGAATGCTTCAGTCACATCACAGATGTTAATAAAAGGGCATAATAGAGAGGTTGAGCGAGATGAATTTGGGATATAATGGCTTCTTCAAGCCAGATGCTCATGAAGATTAGTGGAGGAGGATGGATGGAAATCTGGGCTTTAGAATTATGCTGAACATCTTCCTACCTATAGCAAACTGACCAGTCTGCTGTGGAAGAAGTAGATACAAGGCAGATTTCTTATCTGTCTACTTGCACAATTCAAGCTCATTTTAGCAGCTTTAACATATTACTAGTTGCTCATTTTGAACATTAACTTTCCCCATGTGCAGATCAAAATCACAGGAAAAAGTAGGAGTTAAAATCCAGCAGAATGCAGATTTGGTAGGAAAGGTGAAATGGCAGAGAGAGCAGGGTAGGAAAGAAGGGTGAAAGAGACAGGATTCAGGAAAGTCTAAGGATAAATTTAAAGCTTAAATGTAAAGCAACTCATATAACTGAGAGCTGGGGTGCTTTTTTTTCTCTTACAATCCATGTGTGAATTAACAGTGAGTGACTTAGAGAGTAAAGAGTTAAGCCTCCTTGACCACAACCTGGATCTGTAACTCCTCTTACCAAGCCCTAGAGATCTCATTTTATTTCCTTTAGAGCTCTTGGCATGTGTCTGCAGCATGGGAATAAGGTCGCTTCCTGCTAGCCCTGACTTGTGTCATGTGTGAGCAGTTAGATGTGGCAGGAAAGACTCATGCATGGGAGGCCAAGGCTGTTTAAGTTGCTAGTCAGGGTGAAAGCCAACTGCAGCCTGGCCACTTTCCTCACTTAATGTACTCTGCTTTGCGTCTGAAAGCAGCTGAGACAAAATTAAAGTAAGCAATGTCTCTTGTGAAGGCATTCTAACTGCTCTTGCCTTTTTGTTTCTTTAAATATTCCACTCCCTGATCCTTCTTCCTCGCCAAATGCTCTGCTCTTGGAAGGGACAAAGGCTTCCAGAGGTGTCCATTACAGCATTATTATTCCTTATCTAGAACAATATCTTATATCTGCTATTGTTCATGTTGCATTCAGACACAGGAACATCAGCAAGGCTGAAATCGGATTTTTAGGTAATATATCTTAATTTCTATAGAAGGCTGTGGAGACACATCCGTGGCCTCTGTGCTGTATACTTCTAATTAACTATTGGGCACTCACCACTCCACTTGTTAGAAAATACTTATTTATAGAAAAAAAGGGAAGTATCTATATAAACGGCAGAATTCTAGCAAATGTATCAGGTTCCTTTTGAATTGCTTCTGAGATGCAATGATAAATCCTACCTGATATTTTATGTCGCTCTCTTTCTAAGGAGAAAACTACTTTTAACAAGAATGTAGAAGAGCATGCAGTTTCATTACTTCTCTCCTGAAATCTCAGATTATATTTAATCCTGTGCTTTTCAAAATTACAGTTTTGATTCTCACAGGATTACAGATCTGCTACTGAAAGCTTTTCTCTCCCACCTCTCTCATCTTGATTCCACATGCTGTTTTTCAAGGTGACACACCACTCTTCAAACAGAGGAGGAAGTGGGGAAGGAGGGGAGGGGGGAAAATAATTCCATTGTAAATTGGCACAAAATGAAATAAAACTTTAAAATGTTACAAAGAAAACATTTAATCTCCCGAAGTATTATGGAGCCAGCACATCCCCACCTTCTGCATCCCCCTAATCCTATTAGATAACACCAGGAATAAGCAGCTGTTACAATAAAAAATGCCAAATAAATGATTTTGAACTGCTTGAAAGTATGAGGAAAAAACCTGTAAGATAAAAAGCACTGGGAACGTGACAAGACTATGAGAGTATTCAGCCCCTGGTCTTGTGCATAATAGCTGTCACTCAAGTGTGTCTAGTTAAGACTTGGGGAGATATTCATTTCACTGGAGACTTTTTGATCTGGGTATCATCTTGCATGACATTTTTCATGAATTGTTTCTTTCAGTAGCTTGATGATATTTCTTTTTTTAGCTAAATGAAAAGAAGTATTTATGAGAGCTCTGCAATTTGAAAACGCTCTCAAGGAATATGATCATCTGAGTGCCTACCTTTGCTTTTCAATGTGTCAGGAATGAGGAGGCAGTGACGTGCTGCTGCTGCCTGGTGTCCCTGTTCCTTCAGATACTCCTTGCAGCAGAATGCTCTGGTAATTGCTGCAGTTTTGGCTTTTTAATTTGATGCCTCTCCATTCATGAAGTGCAAAGTATTTACATAGCTGTCACTTCTGCCTCTCACTCCACAGAGGAAACTAAGGCAGGGAAGAGAGGAATGACTTGCACTCAAGGAGACAATGCAGAAAGGTGGTTTACTTACTCCCTAACAAAGGAAAGTGTTGAGCCCATGCAATGCTCCTTCCAGATGCAAACTGTAGAAAGCTTCACAGATATCTAACCCCAAGTCAGTGAACCTACATTTGTAAATCACATCTGTACCAATACAGATTTTCCAAAATTTAGTTAATTTGTGAAGTTTGACTCTTGAAAAGTCAGATGCAAATGTGACCTCCTACATCCTTATTCCACTGTGGCAGTATGAATAAACTGTGTAAAAAATTTTTTAATAGAGTCCCTTTTTAAGGTGAATTAAGGCTTTGGATGAGGTGGTTGGGTTTTTTCCACCCCACTTAGGACATATATGAATGAAGCAAAACAATTACTCATGACTACCTATGAATGTGACTATGCCAGATGCACAAGTTGGCACAACTGCAATGCAGACAAGAAATTGCATCTGATGTCCCAGAAGAAGCTTGTGATGTCTTTTACTCCTAACAGAAAGTGGCACAACTTTAAGATGGAGATCCAGTCCTGGTAACTTTTTGCACATTTTCTTAAAATTAGGTCAAAATATCAGTCCCAGCTACAAGCAGAGCCCCAATTCAGGAACTAGAGAGAAAAGAGAAGGACAGATGAAAAGATTTCATTGTTATAACCAGATCTACAGATTAGAAAGGAGTTGAAAATACACACCTGTGACAGGAATGATTAAAAAAAATAAATGTGTCTAAACAGCATAAAGGTGTCTAAACACCTTTTCTTTAGAAATCCTTTTTGCTTCAGATCACTTTTTTAAAGTTGAATATTAGTAAAGAGGGAAGACATTGGCAGAAACTGACACCTCGACAAGCTCTAAACCAAAATCCATATATATGCCATCACTGTTTGCTGATTGCATGGCGTGAGTGTGGCAATGAATACAGGATTTCATTCCAAGATGTAAACTTTAGAAACTTCGATAAATGAGAAGTCACTTTGAGTGAACTGATGTGTGAAATACATGATTTGTCCACCACCTTGCTACCACCAGGATTTCTAGTAGCACAGGATGGATATTAGGTCTCCTACTTGCTCCAAGCCCATGACTAGAGCACGCCTCCATGCCAAAACAGGAGTGTTGTATAGGACTGTAAGGAAACTTGGGAATTGTTCATGGTCTCACTGGGTTTCAGCCTGTGGATGAGCATAGGCTTTCAGTGTCCTTGACTGCTATTGTAGATTTGAGGCTTTAAGATCATTGTGAAATTAACGTTCTTTCACTGCATGCCAGATTGTTGTGGGGGTTTTTCTCTTTTCTTTGCTGGAGAGTCTTCACTTGCCACTCAGAAGATTGCCTTCAAACTATCTTGCCCCATCATGTTCAGAGATGATGTCTTTAGTTTCAGCCTGTGTGTGCTCAGAATACAGGGTTAGGTTCATCTGGGTGTTGTTTAGGAGCTTCTTGTTCCAGCAGACTTCAAATGCAGCATCCCATGGAGACTTGAATATAAAAGCAAGTAGTGCTGATGTGCCACATTTAACACAGGCTGTGCAGGAAATCAACCTTAAAAGATTTGTATGTGTTGATCTGCTCCTTCTCTAGTTCTTCAGTTAATGTTTCAAAATTATTCCTAGGTCTTCATGGTAGCTTAAAGAATCATTTATATGCTGGTGAAATTTCTTATTAACATTACTGTACTTAAAACCACTGTTAAGATTGTGGAAGCAGCACTGTTAATATTGTACAGCAGTTGTCAACTACACAGCCTTGGAGTGGGGAGAACTCAACTGTTGTCCTACAACAACTAGTTTAACATCACTAGTTTGTGTGCAGGTTAGGGGGAAAATCCTGTTCATTTTGTAATTCATGCAATTTATTCTGTAAAAAGAGTTTTTTTAGATGAACCTTCATAAACTAAACCTCTCACGTCCAAAAATGGTCTAGCTTTGATTGGGCACCAGATCTGAACACCCATAGTCCTGCTCTATCCATCATCCACTGAAGGAGGTTTGTGTGATCTGCCTTTCTGTGGAGCCAGGTGCCATAGAGAGGGATTTATGCATGTGCACATTACACTGAGATAATGAAACTATGAAACCTGCTCAGATTTTAACAAGTGTCAAAGCACTGGAGAAACCTAACTCCAAGCCAGACCATCTTTGTGGGAAAGTCCTTTGACTGGTTCTTGGCTTCTTCAGAGGATGGGAGAGCTATTGCATTTTTCCAAGCTATTCAAGGGCTTAGAGATTTCAAAGTGAAATATTTCAAAGCCAGTTAAGGCTGTGCTTAGTTTAATGTGGAGCTGCAAAGGATACTTCTAAGTACCAGGCAGCACTTGTGCTACATGAACTGTGAAATACTTTACAGCAGCCAAATACCCACAGCAGTCGGCACACCTTTGATTCAAGAAAACTACCTTTTCCTGCATGTATTTTAGAAAAATAGAAAAAAAAAAAAAAAAACAAAGAAAGAAAGCTAGAGATTTCTTCACCAAAAGCTGAGATCCTACAGAACTGTGTGAGAGGTGACTAATTCATGGATCTTGGGAGGACACACAACTAAGGAAAGCAGTATTATTTTTCAAATTTATGTGTAATAATCACTACAACGAGTGAAAAGTGTTTTTTTAGGTTAGGACCTAAATGGGAAGCAGCTGGCTACATGTAGAACACACCAAAGAACATATTAATACTTCTGCAGAACAGATAAAATTCAATTTATTCTTTTAACGCTCACAGCCAGAACAATCACCACATTCTTGTGCAAGAGGCATGGAAGCAGAAGCAGGCAGAGAAAAATTCTGGGGTGGGGCCCCAGTTGTTGGTTTCTCTGGGTCTGGATTGAAGGCACTTGAGACAGTACTTCATGTTTGGACTCAAGTGTTTGTTATTTCTTATCAGTAAAACAGTCCCACTACTGTGAGTTTGGCAGCTTTTCATTAGAAGGCACAAAATAGGTAACAATCTCTTGTTACAAGGTCTTTTAAGACTAAACTATCCAATTAAGAAGTGACACCTAGATTATTTTCCCTTTTAACCCAATAATTGATCCCAAAGAGCTGCAATGTGGACTTTTCTGCCTGATTACAAAATGCCACCCAAACCCCTGAAGAAGAAAGAAGAAGCACGAAGAAGAAACTCAAGATGACACCCTGTGCCCTCCATCTTGCTTCCATCCACAACATATTAAAAATCCCAAAACCTAAATTTTTCACCAAGTGATACACCTACACTACTCTCTATGATCTATTGCACACTTTTGTGGATTCCAGTCTATCCTGAAGTCTGGGAAACTTTCTCCATGAATGAAGGTGAAAGTCAGTGCTCCCCTGGGGGTCAGGACACCCCAGAGCAGGAAGAGAAATATTCCAGTGCCCTGGGTTTCCACAGACCACTTCAGCCAACTCATGAGAACTGAGGTTCTAGAGTAAACTCTCACTTTTTTAGTCAAGACAGGTATGTTTTCTATGAGGGAAACATTATTTATTTCCTTTTCTCTTTTTAACCAGTACAAGTCTCCCAAATTTAGCATAGTAATTAGTCTGAAAGCACCATGGAATAACAAACATAAACTTTTATCATATTATATTTAATTACAGTTGTCATACTTTCATTTCATAATTACCTTTCATTTATAAGGCTGTAAAGATCACTTTAATGACTTTTCAATTATTTTGCTATTAATTGGTTTTAATTTCCATGCTTCTTTATTAAGGATGTCTGCAAATTACTTTGTAGATGAATGAGGAGTGTTGCAGAATGTTCTGCTTCTGTTTCTTTTTCTGAAAAACAAGCTGGTGAAATAGAGTCAAGCATTCAGCATAAATTAAAAACTCACACACATGACATTTGGAAAACAGTTTGTAACTTTAATTTTAGATGTGATGATAGAACTGAATTGATGGCCTAGAAACAATACCCTTGATGGCCTAGAAACAATACCCTTGGTGAGTACTTGAAGCTTATAGAAATCTCTTTGTTGAATGGGCTTGAAGTATAGGAGCTCCTGATCTAGACCAAGAGTCCCACCCAGCTCCCGGACTCTCATGATTAAATCAGAATGTGTTTTATTCTTGGTGTTAGGGGAAAAAACCACAACCACCAACAAAAAAAATGTGGTGTAAATGGAATTTTTAAAATATTTGAGACAAAGATTTCAAATAGAGGTAAACTACTTTTATTTGCTTCAGCTCTAAAATGGCTTCCCAGAAAAAAAAAAAATGGCCTGTCATAGCAGCAGGGATACAGTATGCAGTTATACAGTAGAAGTTGCTTGTGATGCTACTTCTCCTTTTGAGCTGATAAGCTAAGTTTTTAATTACTGAAGTGCTGTGTCTGAAGGCAGCAATATTTGAGGCTTCAAGGGCTGATTAACATTTTCTTTGGCCCATAAAACTGTGCATTTTCTCTTACAAACATCCAGGAGGAAAAACAAGCCACTATTTATTTTCCCAGATGGTGAGAAGGAATCTGCATCCCACTGGTAATAAGTAAACCATTTACTTTGATTATTCCTGTTGTTTGGATTCCTCCATCGCACTGCATTAGTCCTACATGGAATAACAATGCTCACCTGAACTAGAGAAATAAATAGCAGATGGAAAGGGGGAGCAGTTCAACAGTCTATAAAATATGTATGAAAATGATCAAAATTCTCACCAGTTATTAAGGCTTTTTGAAATAGCTGGAGGTTCACTAAGCAGAACGATGAGCTGTGACCTGAAAGAAGCACTCTTGCACTCAACTTCATAGGTAGACAGACCAAAAGCCAAGCTTATTAAATGGACTCCAAAGACAAGAAAAAGTCTTGTTTTGGCACGTGAAACTATGGAAGTGTTGCAAATTAGAGATTTCTATTACAAAACTGAATGTCTGGTTCAGAACAAGGGCTTTTTGCATAATTGGGATGAATACAGGTGCACAGGAGTTCTGGAAGTTTAAATGTGCCTCATCCTCAGAATATAAATGTATCATTTTGCAACTGTTTTTACAAAGATAAAGGCTAGATATACCAGTCTTTCTTTTAGAAAAG